GTTGCCCGGGCGGGTCTCGAACCCGCAGGCTCAGGCAATCCACTCACCTCAACCTCCCAAGGCGCGGGATTACAGGCTGAGCCACCGAGCCTGGCTCGTTTCTCCATCCTTAAACTAGTGATCCTGGTCTGAGTACTTCCACCAGCAGAATCCAGTCCTTCTGTTTATTGATTCACCAATCTGTGTATTGATCAGTTCTACTAGTAGAACTGCCCCCCCTGAAACCTACAAATAACAAATTCACTCAGAAAATGCAAAATTCGAAAAAGATAAAGTAGTCATCATTTTGGCAGATGGAATGGCTTTCTGAAGTCTGGTTCCGAAGCCTGCATGCCGTGGTGGTGCTGTTCAAGAGTTGATGCAGCCTGGCTCGGTGGCTCAGCCTGTAATCCCACGCTTTGGGAGGCTGAGGTGAGTGGATTGCCTGAGCCCACGGGTTCGAGACCCGCCTGGGCAGTGAGACCTCATCTCTACAATAAATCAAAAAAATTAGCCGGGTGTGGTGGCGTGCGCCTGTGGTTCCAGTTCCTTGGAGATGGGTAAGAGCAGGAAGGATCGCCGGAGCCCAGCAGGTCAAGGCTGCGGTGGCTGGGAGCGGCCTCTGCACTCCAGTCTGGGCGACCATGTGAGACTCCAACTCAAAAAAAAAAAAGTTGATGCAAGTGCTTGTTCCATTACCCAGAGATTTCCACCTTGACAGTAGACTATTATACTTGCCCGATAAAGCCTGTATTATTGTAGTGAGTCAGTCCCAAGATGCCTTTGTAGAGGGTGGTTATCTGTCTACATTCCTGTCATTAAAACAAACTGCCCCAGCAGTAAACAATTTTGTAGTGTATCTGGATTACAAGGCCCACACTCCTGGGGGTAAACGCCAGATTTATCTTAGAAGTAGTAATCAGAAAATAATATAGGCCCTTTTTTTTTTGAGTCAGAGTCTAACTCTGTCGCCCAGGCTGGGGTGCAGTGGTTCAGACACAGCTTATTACAACCTTGACCTCTTGGGCTCAGGCAGTGCTTCTGCCTCAATCTCCAAGTAGCTATGACTACAAGTGTGTGCCACCATGCCTAAATTCTTAAATTTTTTAGCGATGAGGGTTTGCTGTGTTGCCTAGGATTCGACCTTCAAAGTGCTGGGATTACAGGCCTGAGCCTTCACACCTGGCCTCTGAATTTTTTTTTTTCTTTGTTTTGATTTTATACTTGCAACAATAAGCATAGGTGTTGATGTCTAATTTAAAGTTGTAAACATATTAGTAATGCAGTGATAACGTGTCAGTAAGAATCTTTTACCCTTGAAATACACACTCCAAGAAAGGGTATTCTCCACAGATGCTCAGAGACTGATGCCTTGGCCCAGCTCTGAGAATGGCAGTACTGGCGTTGTGACTGTGATATGGATTTTTCAGGTCAACCTGGACTTCAAGAGTGTCAGCTCAGTGGGTTGGCCAGCTGAGCCCCAGAAAGGGTCAGCTCGATGCGCTGGCAAGCCTAGAACCCAAAGTGTTGGCTCTAATGGGCTGGCAAGCCAAGCCCTGAGAGTGTTGCTGCCCTCAGAAGTGTCTCAGTTTCGGAGTCTTGCCTTCTTCCAGCAGCTCTCCTGGTTCAGCAGGCTCTGTCGGCTGGCAAGCCAGCCTCCAGGGTACATGATCTTCTGCAGCTCTTCAGGTCGGGTGCCCAGGAGAAATGAGGGACACGGACAGCCAAAAAGTGAGAGAGCAAGATTTATTGAGAGGACAGAAAAACTCCCACAGTGGGAGGGGACCCAAGGGAGTTCCTTTGAATTGTTTTTATTTTTTATTTATTTATTTATTTTTTGAGTCGGAGTCTCACTCTGTCACCCAGACTGGAGTGCAGTGGCCGCTCCCGGCCACCGCAGCCTCGACCTGCTGGGCTCCGGCGATCCTTCCGCCTCAGCCTTCCAAGTAGCTGGAACTACAGGGGCGAGCCACCATGCCCGGCTAATTTTTGGATTTATTGTAGAGATGAGGTCTCGCCAAGTTGCCCAGGCAGGTCTCGAACCCACGGCTCGGGCAATCCACTCACCTCAGTCGCCCAAAGCGCTGGGATTACACGCTGAGCCACCGAGCCCGGTCTTATTTATTTATTTTTTGAGTTGGAGTCTCACTCTGTCACCCAGTCTGGAGTGCAGTGGTTGCTCCCGGCCACTGCAGCCTCTACCTGCTGGGGTCCAGTGATCTTTCCGCCTCAGGCTTCCAAGTGGCTGCAACTACAGATGCACGCTACCACGCCCGGCTAATTTTTTTGATTTATTGTAGAGATAAGGTCTCACCAAGTTGCCCAGGCGGGTCTCAAACCTGCGGGATCAGGCAATCCACTCACCTCAGCCTCCCAAAGGCGCGGGATTACAGGCTGAGCCACCGAGCCCGGCTTGGTTTAGTGTCTTGATGGGGTTATTAAGGGCCCTGTCTATTCTCATCTTTCCTCCCTGCCTTCTTTGTATCCTCTTGGTTGCAAAATGGCCACCTCCAAGCATTGTGGCCTTGTGCAAACATGACCAAAACAGGAAGAAAGGAGATGCATGGCAGAGACTTCTCAGAAGCTCTCCAGCAGACTTCTCTTTGAAACTCACTGGCCAGAACGACGGCACAAACCAGAATGAGCAACTTATTTTATTTATTTATTTTTTGAGTTGGAGTCTCACTCTGTCGCCCAGACTGGAGTGCAGTGGCCGCTCCCGGCCACCGCAGCCTTGACCTGCTGGGCTCCGGCAATCCTTCTGCCTCAGCCTTCCAAGTAGCTGGAACTACAGGCACACGCTTCCATGCCTGGCCAATTTTTTTTTTTTTTAATTTATTGTAGAGATGGGTCTCGCCAAGTTGCCCGGGGGGGGTCTCACCAAGTTGCCCGGGCAGGTCTCAAACCTGCGGGCTCAGGTAATCCACTCACCTCAGCTTCCCAAAGCACAGGATTACAGGCTGAGCCACCTAACCCGGCTGAGTGACTTATTTTTTGATAACTCCTAAATAAATTCTGAATATGGTCTTACTCCTTTTCTGGTTTGCTGCATCTATTAAATCTTGAAGCCTTGACAGAAACTTTGATTTTAACTCTATCATGATTAACTTAGAGTTATCCTCGTTCTCCCTCTGGAGCTGAGTTCATAGTCCCTAATTTCGAGAAAGCTTCACCTAATACCCGAACAAAAATTGGATTCTATTAGCAAAAAAGAAAATGAAATCGCTCTTCTGGATATCTTCTAATGACCTTTATTCCCTGGTATCCATGCTTCCATATGAAATGAGTCTGACCTGGGTAACCAATAGGACAGTGTGGAAATGATGTTGTGTGATTTTTGAGGCCAGGTGATAAAAAACATTGTAGCTTCTATCTTGTACTCATTCCTGGATCTCCCACTCTGGGAAAAGTCAACTGCCATGTCATGAGGATGCTCCATCAGCTTTGTGGATAGGTCCAGGTACTGAAGAACTGAGGCCTCCTGCCAACAGCCAGACCCAGTAGCCAGCCATGTGAGTGAGCCAGCTTGGAACCCCCGTGAAGCCTTCAGATGACTGCAGACCCAGCTAGTACTGGACTGCCACCGCCTGGAAGACTCAGCTAGAATCACCCAACTAATCTGCTCCAGAATTCCTGATCACAGAAACTAAGTAACCACACGTTCACTACTGTTCACACTAGTAGTAACCACACATTCACTACTGTTTTAAGCTGCCACATTTTGGAGTAATTCATTATCCAGTGATAGATAACAGATAGAGGACCAACTACAAAAACATCTACTATATATAGAGGCACTGAGCATGAATTCTATCCTTGAATCCTCTTAGCAGTGCTATGGGAAAGTTATCCCTATTTTACAGTTAAGCAAACTGAAACTAAGAAATGAGATGTGGGCAACCTTCTCAGGGCTCTCCCTGCTGTGGGAGCCTTCCTTTCTGTCTTCTCAATAAATCCTGCTTTCTAAAAAAAAAAATAAAAAAATAAAGAAAGAAATGAGATATGACTTACCCAAAGTCTCATCTTCTAAGGAGTTAGGTGGAATTTCAAATCCAAGCCTGTCTTACCACGTCTGACTCAAAAGCACACTCTTCCCACTGTGCTGCTGTGCATTCAGCAGTCAGCTCTGAGCTGCTTCTATACTAACCCAGGTGTCTTTTTTTTAATTTATAAAGCACTTTTTATTTTCTTTCAATTATCATAGAACAGCATCAAGAGTACATACATTTTATGAATAAGAATTCAAGAAAACCAAGTCTGGAAAAGTTGGAGTTCTTGCTTGTTACAGCCTGATTTTCAATTCCTTACTCCCACTGCCCCAGCTGGGCTGAGAGAAGAAACAAGCAGCTTGATGTCCCCCTCCCCAACCTGGCTCCTGTTCCAAACCCCCCAGTACTAAAGTCACCTTTCCAATTGGTTGGAGAGTCATTGAGTTGCGAGGAGAGGATTCATGTGAATCCTGGGTAAAGGATCAGGAAAGGGCTCAAGGAGCAAGTTCCATCTCCTGGGTGCAGAAGGATGAGTGTGTATGTCAGTAGGGAGTCTTAGTTGTCAGCAACAGAAAATAATTCTGGCTAAAATGAGCAGATACAATTTTTTTTCCTTAGAGACAGGATCTTGCTGTATCACCCAGGCTGGAATGCAGTGGTGCATTCACAGCTCACTGCAGCCTCGAACTCCTAGGCTCAAGTGATCCTCCCACCAGCCTCCCTAGTAGCTGGGACTACAGGCATGCACCACCGTTCCCCATTAATTTTTTCTTTATTGTTTTGTAGAGATGGTGTCTTGCTATGTTTCCCAGGCTGGTCTTGAGCACTTGGCGTCAAGCAATTCTCCAACATTGGCCTCCCAAAGTGCTGGGATCATAGACATAAGCCACCACGCTTGGCCCAGAAAAAGAATTTTTTGAAAGGTTATTGGATAGCCTACAAAATCACCAAGAAGTTTGAAAAACTAGGTTCCCCAAACAGGCGGGATGAAGGTGATCTTAGGACCCAGCACCACAGCTAAAATTCTACCACACAACGTGGATCGTGAAACATTGAACCCCCGACTCCTGTCCATGGTTCTGGGAGATAGTATGAATGTCACGGTGGCTGCTCCACAATGAATTCTTCACTGCTGTGGGGGGTCTGATGGCTGAGCCCAGCTCATATTCCCAAGAACCTGGTCAACGTGGGTGGGGCCTGTTGAGCTTCCAAAAGCAGGACCAGGCTCCTTCCAGGTGGGGAACTTCCCAAACAAGCATGAGGGTTCAGAATCCATGCCACAAAAATCCATGCCCTCCATAGACTACAGGCAGGATCTGTACAGGCAGGAGGGGAGAGGAACTCCACTGTTTTCACAGTATTTTTTTTTTTCCAAATTCATTTTGGCTGCAACTGACAGCAAACAAACTCAAACTAGCTTTAGAATCAGAGGGTGGGTGTACCCTAGCTCTGTCACTGCTCCATCTGTGTCTACTAATTAAGGTGTTATTTGACCTAGTAAAAGTGTGAACACAGCCAGGCTTGGTGGCTCGGCCTGTAATCCTGCGCCTTTGGGAGGCTGAGGTGAGTGGATTGCCTGAGCCTGCGGGTTTGAGACCCGCCTGTGCAGAGAGACCTCATCTCTACAATAAATCAAAAAATCAGCCGGGCGTGGTAGTGCGTGCCTGTAATTCTGGCTACTTGGAAACCTGAGGCAGAAGGATCGTCGGAGTCCAGCAGGTCGAGGCTGCGGTGGCCGGGAGCGGCCACTGCACTCCAGTCTGGGTGACAGAGTGAGACTTCAACTCAAAAAAAAAAAAAAAAAGTGTGAACACACATTTTCCATTTCTTTTTCCAAACCCAGCGAAAATTCTGTTTATTTAATCAAATCTTCCAAATGGAATGCATCTCTATCTAATTTGCCTTCAGAATTAACTAGATGCCTATCACAGTTCTCTTCCATTTAACATGTATATTTAAATTCCTGTCCTACCCAGAGGAGTCAAAAAATAAAGTTGATGCTTAACTGAAAAAGACATAGAGGGAATTTATTGATTCATGCAATCAGTCCAGGGGTTGGCAAACTACAGCCCAAATCTGCACACAGCCTATTTTTGCATGACCCTTGGGGTGTGTGTGTGTGTGTGTGTGTGTGTGTGTGTGTGTGTGTGTATACATATGTATATATACTAAATTTTTATTTTTATTTTTGCATCAAAGTTTCACTCTGTCACCCTGTCTGGAGTGCAGTGGCATGCTCACAATCACCACAGCCTTGACTTACTAGGCTCAGTTGATCCTTTGCTTCAGCCTTCCAAGTAACTGGAACCACAGGCTTGCACCACCTTGCCCAGCTGATTTACTGTAGAGACAAGTTCTCGCCAAGTTGCCCGGGCTGGTCTCGAACTCCTGGGCTCAGGCAATCCTCTCATCTCCACCTCCCAAAGTGCTGGGATTACAGGTGTGAGCCACCGTGCCCTGCCAGCTCACATATTTTGACAGCATTTAAAAAAGAAAAAAAAAGAATAATATGAGACAAAGACAGTATGTGACCCTCAAAAGCCTAAAATATTTACTATCTGGCCTTTTATAAAGCAAGATCTGAGAAGGGCAGTTTTGTTGGGTCTATTAACTGCCTCTTGTCTCTGTTCTCCCCTTCTTCCTTTTAGCAAAAAACCATCGTGGAACATCTGCAGGGCACATGACCACCAGCTGGAGTCCACATGTTCCAACCTTCCTTGCAGTTAAGTGTGGCCAAGTGACTAGATTCTGGCCAAACAGATGTGAGTGGAAGTGATGTGTGCAACTTCCATATTGTGTCATTGAAAGGAAGCTGGTTGATTCTCCCTCTCTCTCTTCCCACTTCCTGCAACCTGGGAGAGGACAAAGTTCTGGGAAGCCAGCATAGACCGTGTAGGTCACAATAGTCTAAGGAAACAACAAGATAGAACCCAGGCACCTGGACAGCTTCATAGGATGAGCCATCTGCCTACTTTGGATCTGTCTATCTCTGAGAGAGAGAGAGAGAGAGAGAGAGAGAGAGAGGAGCTTTTCTCTTGTGTGAGTCATTGTTTTAGGTGGTTATTTATTTATTTATTTATTTGTTATTTGTAGAAATGAGATCTTGCTATGTTGCCCAGGCTGATCTCAAGCTCCTGGCCTCAAGTGATCCTCTCGCCTCAGCCTCCCAAAGTGCTGGGACTATAGGCATTAGTCACCACACCCAGACAATCTTTCAGTGTTATGTAACAGCTTAGCCTGGCCCTCATTAACAGAGGCAGATATACGACTGGCCAGAAGAGAGCAGAACCACGGGTTCCAGCATCTCCAGGTCTTCTTTCCTCCCATCTGTGTCCTGTGGGCCAGCTTCATTCTTACCTGTAGCAGAAGGGCTTTCTCTGTGTGATAGCACCAGGGCTCCAGGGCCCAGCCCTAAAATCCTAGCCATCTGATTGGGGAAAGAACCTGCCCTCAGAGCTCCAATTCAGCAAGGGCTCTGTTTGGATTGGCTCTGTTTGGATTGGCTGAGTCACATAGAAGGGCTCTGTTTGGATTGGCTGAGTCACATGCTCACCTTCTAGATCAGTGACTGTCAGTGGGGGTGAGGATAGGATGTTGCCCCCAGGGGACACTTAGCAATGGGGGTAGGGTGCTACTGGCACTTGGTGGGCAGAGGCCAGGGATGCTGCTAAACCTCCTACTGTGCACAGGACAGCCCCCACAACAAAGAATGATCCGACCTAAAATATTAATAGTGTCAAGGTGGAGAAACCCTGTTTTGGGCCAATTCTATTAACTATTCTATTCCAGAGTTTACATGGAATGTGACCACTTGCCAGTACCTCCATGGGCGCCACCTGGTCTAAGATACCACTGCTGTTTCCCGGATAACTGTTCCCTGATTCCTCTCTTGCTTCTGCAGTCCTCCACGAAGCAGCCTCAATTAGAGCGTGTCTTTCCTCTGCCCCAAACACTCCAGTGAAGTTTTCATTTTACTCAGAGAAAAAGCCACAGCCTTTTTTTAAAAATTTTTTTTTTGAGTTGGAGTCTCACTCTGTCACCCAGACTGGAGTGCAGTGGCCTCTCCCAGCCACCGCAGCCTCGACCTGCTGGGCTCCGGCGATCCTTCTGCCTCAGCCTTCCAAGTAGCTGGAACTACAGGCGCGCGCTACCACACCCGGCTAATTTTTTGATTTATTGTAGAGATGAGGTCTCGCCAAGTTGCCCAGGCGGGTCTCGAACCCGCGGGCTCAGGCAATCCTCTCACCTCAGCCTCTCAAAGGTGCGGGATTACAGGCTGAGCCACTGAGCCCGGCTAGCCACAGCCTTTAGAGTCCCCTGCGAGGCCCTGCATGGTCTGGGACTCCACTTCCTCTTTTCCTCTCTTCCCCTCACCCTCCCTCTCTTCGCAAGCTTTGCACTGGCTGTTTCCTCTGCCCAACACTCTTCCCCTAGACAGCTTCAGGGCTTGCTTCCTGACTTCTCTCAGGTCTCTGCTCAAATACCACCTTATCCCTGAAGACTTACCTGCCTACCTTCTAGAAAATTCCACACGCACCCTCGTCTCCTTTACTCCTTTATCTCCCTGGAACTTACCACCATCTGACTTACTATAGATTTATTTGTGTATCAGTAACATGCAAGTAGCCCGCATGAAGTCAGGGGGCCTGGTCTTTTTTGTTTATTGTTGTATCCTCAAACCTATGGTAGTACCTGGCACATAGTAGGTGCTCAAAAAATATTTGTTGAATGAATGCATTGCTGTGGCCATGGAGGTGAGGTGCTATGATGGACAGCTCACTCTAGAACAATCACTCACAGTGCTAGCGTGGGGGTAGAGCAGGTTCTGTGCTGAGAGTGGGGCCATGATGCTAGACAGAGCTGCTGGGAGAATCCTTGAGAGCTGGGACCCACCCAGCCCTGTGCATTCTGGCAGTCTGACACTTTCACATACAACATTCCTTTATTCCAGCCAGTCACAGTGACTCACGCCTGTAATCCCAGCACTTTGGGAGGCAGAGGCGAGAAGATTGATTGAGCTCTGGGGTTCCAGACCAGCCTGAGCAACATGGCGAGACCTCATCTTTACTATAAGTCAAAAAATTATCTAAGTGTGGTGGCGCATGCCTGTGGTTCCAGCTACTTGGAAGGCTGAGGCAGAAGTATTGCCTGAGCCCAGCAGGTTGAGGCTGTGGTGGCTGTGAGCGTGACACTGCACTCCAGCCTGGGTGACAGAGTGATACTCTGACTCAAAAAAAAAAAAATTCCTTTATTCCTCACAACACTCCAGAGAGGTCGACATTATTATTCTCATTTTACAGTTGAGATAAGGCACAGAGCAGCTAGGTAGTATAAGACGATCATGCAGTGATTTAGGGCTAACCTTGTGTCTTTGGACTCTAATCCTGTGTCTCTTTCATTCCCATCTCCCCGTGCTCACTGAACACCGAGGGGCATGGCAACCCCTGCTTTTGCTTGCCCCCTCCCCACACCCCCAAGCCCACATTCAGCCAGCCCCATGAGAGAAGCCAACCCCAGCCTCCCCGCCCTTGGTTCAGCAGGGCAGTCCTTGCCTGCTGGGAAAGGTTAACAAGGAGTGTTTGTAGCAGCCACTGTCTCCAAGGAGAGGAGAGCAAGCAGAACTGGGAGGCCGAGGAGGCTGCCAGCTACCCAAGTCCCACAGTGCAGTCAGTGGGAGGCCGCCAGCTTGACCTGCTCGGCCCTGGGGGAAGAGAGGAGTGTCCTCACCTCCACCCGTCCCGGGAGGTGGTGAACTCTGAGCGAACTGGGCAGCAGGAGAGTGAAGTCGCTGCAGGGCCACCAAGCAAGGAAAGTTCTTGCAGGGACGGAGGAATGTGGGGTAGTGGGGGGCGGGCCTGGCCCGGTGGCTGAAGCCAGCGGCAAGTTGCAGAGCTGGAAGTCCTGGGCTCTCAGAAGGTGCAGGGGAGCCTCTAAGCCAGGAAGAACAGGGCCAAGACCCAGCAGGTGACGAGAGTAAAGAGGCAGCGTGGGAGAGAGAAGTGGTGCCCACCTCCTCCCCTGCTGAGGGTCCAGCCATGGCCCAGCCTGCGGGTCGCAGGAGGCCCGGGACCCTGGGGTCTCCTGTGCGCAGCATCCGGCCCTTCAAGTCCAGTGAGCAGTACCTGGAGGCCATGAAGGAAGACCTGGCCGAGTGGCTTCACGATCTTTATGGGCTGGACATCGACGCAGCCAACTTCCTGCAGGTGCTGGAGACTGGCCTGGTGCTGTGCCAGCACGCCAACACCATCACCGAGGCTGCCCTGGCCTTCCTGGCCAAGGCGCCTGCCAGAGCCCAGAGGATTCCCATGCCCCGGGCTGGGGTCTCCTGCAATGGGGCCGCCCAGCCAGGCACCTTCCAGGCCAGAGACAATGTCTCCAACTTCATCCAGTGGTGTCGCAAGGAGATGGGCATCCAAGGTAACCGTCCTACCTCTCACCCCCATCCCAAGACCCCTGTCAGAGTCCCAGGCTAGCTGTGGGCATCAGGAGCCTGGGTCCGCCTTCCAGACTGGCCTTGAGTCAGCTTATCTTTTTCTTTTTCTTTTTTTGAGTTGGAGTCTCACTCTGTTGCCCAGGCTGGAGTGCAGTGGCATGCTCCCAGCTACCGCGGCCTTGACCTGCTGAGTTCCAGCGATCCTTCCACCTCAGCCTTCCAAATAGCCAGAACTACAGGAGTGCGCTACCACGCCCGGCTAATTTTTGATTTATTGTAGAGATGAGGTCTCGCCAAGTTACCTGGGTGGGTCTCGCCACTCACCTCGGTCTCCCAAGGTGCTGGGATTACAGGCTGAGCCACCAAGCCCAGCCAGCTTATCTTTTTCTATGTCTCAGTTTCCCCATCTCATAGTAAATCCTCAACAAATAAATGTGTTGATGACGCAGTCAACAAACATATATCAAGCACCTCTTTTGCACTGAGCACTGTGCTGGGCACTGAGGACCTAGAGGAATGAGAACCAGTGCCCAAGGAATTCATGGTCTAGCAAGAGAGACACATGAATAGATGTGTGAATTACAGCCCACGGTGATAAATGCTCAAAGCAGTGGTGCAGTGATGGGAGCCAGGGCAAAAGCAGCGAACTGATGAGGTGGAAGAGGGGGCTGAGAAAGGTGATTTTGGCTGAGTCTTTTTTTTTTTTTGAGTTCAAGTCTCTCTGTCACCCAGGGGGAGTGCAATGGCTCAGGTGATCCTTCTGCCTCAGCCTTCCAAGTAGCTGGAACTACAGGCACGTGCCACCACGCCTGGCTAATTTTTTGATTTATTGCAGAGATGAGGTCTTGCAAGTTGCCCAGGCTGGTCTCGAACCCCAGGGCTCAGGCAATCCTCTCACCTCGGCCTCCCAAAGTGCCAGGATTATAGACGTGAGCAACCGCCCCCAGCCTGGACTGAGTCTTAAGGAATAAACAGAAGTTGGGGGGGAAGGGAATTCCAGCAGGGGGATGGCAGCGACAAAGGCACGGAAAGGCGCTGTGTTTGAGACTGGAAGAAGCCGGGGATGGTGAGGGCAAGGAGACAGAAAGGACAAGAAAACATGTGAGGGGGCAGGTGGGGACAACACCGGGACCGGCCCAGTCATGCTGGGGCTTGCAGGGCTCAGGGGAGTGACATGTCAGGATCCCTGGTCTCCTTGGCCTTCAACCCAGGAAAGGAATGATGTTGCACCGTCCTCCAGGCCAAAGGCAGTGGGGTTGAGCCAAGGGACGTGTCAGGCCTGGGCTCCGGGCCAGGGGTACCGCAGCAAGGAGCAGAACTGGAGGTTAACGAAGCCAGTGTTTTATGAAGCACATACACGCGCCAGACACTGTGTGCCACTGCTCAGTGACTGTTAGCTGATCCGGTCCTCACAACTCCCCCATTTCACGGAAGAGGAAGCAGAGGCCCAGGGACTAGCTCAAGGTCAGCAGCCGGCAGGTGGGAGACTCAGGACTCCGTCTTAGGGCTTGGCCCGGGAAGGGGGCACTCAACCCCGCCTGCTTGGGGGCTGGGGGCGGAGTCTGAGATGCCTAGAGGGAGTTGGAGGCCAGAGGCCCGGGCGGGGAACAAGCCACGCCCTGCTCCCGGACGGTCCTGGAGAGCAGAGTGGGGAGAGGGAAGGTGAGTTCCCCCAGCCCTGGCCAGGACCCACAGCCGTGCCCTGTCACCTCCTCCCAGCCCAGCCTCTCCTGGGAGACGGGCCGCTGGACAGCACCCAGCATCCGGGCCCCCTCTGAGGGGGCTGACGAGACCCGAGCCACCCCCCATGTCTGCGCCCGACCCCGGATGGCCCCCAGGGCTCCCCGCACGCCCAGGTCTGCAGGGGGCCCCCCTCTCCTCGCCACGCCAGAGGTGCTGATGTTCGAGACCGAGGACCTGGTGCTGCGCAAGAACGTGCGGAACGTGGTGCTGTGTCTGCTGGAGCTGGGCCGCCGGGCCTGGCGCTTCGGCGTCGCGGCGCCCACCCTGGTGCAGCTGGAGGAGGAGATTGACCAGGAGCTGCGGCGGGAGCGGGCCCTGCCCGCGCCCGGCCCGCCGCCGCCCGCGCCCCCCGC